ATGTATATATACCTTTAACATAACTTCATTACCATACCAGCAATAAAAAAAGATTTGTGATAGCATGCAGCCCATATACATCATTAATTGCATATACTGTGCTCTTGACGCTGTTGATTTGGTAAATTGATAAAGAATGACACATACTACTAACATACTCACAACAAATTGTATAACAATAGTCAATCTAAATTTTTCATTCATCAGACGAGCAAACCTAAAATTCAAATCGGATACTGTAACCTTCTTTAATTATTATAATTAAATATACAATAACATGAAATGATTTTTCTAAAAACTAATAAAAATTATTATAAAATAATACAAATAGTGTATGTTGTGAGAAAAATAAAGATAAACTAAATAAATTAAATCTAAATACATAAAAAATATATTTAATATTGTCAAAAATATGAAAACACTTCATTTCTTCTCTTCAAGTAATACTATATAAATAGCAATACAATATAATATATCAGGGTAGATTTAAAATATTTATTGTACATAATATTAGTTACATAAAACCAACTTGAATAAATGATTATGCTGCAAGACGGATTTGCGAAGAATATCTTGATCATGTGCGACTTTTTGCAAACGGCATTCAATTATTTCTATCTGACAGCAAACATGCACCAGTAATCCACATATTAGACCGTCGCAAGCAACATGGAGAATAGATCCAGCTGTCAAACTTATCAACTGATGTGCATATACAATATGAAACAGTGATGACGAAGAATAGTCGAATGGCAACCATGCCCTGAATGTTAATCTTCCTTTTCTAAATTCTGTTAGCAATGATGTCACAGCTATGCACAGACATGTTGTTTCAACCCAAACTGCATAGAAAAGCGTATTTGTCCTGTAAGATGTCTATTTATAGAAATTTTTCCGTTTTATCTAAGATTTTTACTTAAACTTTAACTATGCAATTTGTAATATTTCTTCCTAATTATATACTAGTAAACATCAAAACGTTAACATACATCGCCAGTTTTAATAAATAATTTATATTAATTAATGTATGTATTGTATATATACAGATATGTTAGAAAAAGTTATAAATTTAATCATTTACCAAAAATTAACATTAATAATCATTAGACTCCCAATTATGAGTACATGTAAAAATATAAATTATTTATATACATTAAATATTTAAATATTCTAAAAATTTAAATGCTACAAATTAATTAAAAATTAATTAAATTTTTTTATTTGATTTATAACATTTCTAAGAATTAACTAAATTTTAATTGTAACTCAATAGAGAAATCTGTGAAATTAATTTTTAACTAGGAACACACAAATGTACATATACAGCTCAATTCGAATACGTATAATTCTTATAAAATATATTGTATAATAGAAAATTTGTTTAATTTAAACGTTAAGATATTAAGAAATATAATGGTACCAAATATACATATTTTTTCTAATAAAAAAATGATAAGCAATGGAAAATAAAAAAAGATTGAAAAAAAGTTGAGTATAACATACCGAAAAATCGTTAAGGATTAAACGTGATATGCATTTTTAATTATAGTTTACTAAAAAAAAAAGATTTTATCCAAGAAAATTGTTGTATAATAGTACTCACTGTACATGTTTATCGAATTTCTGCTGAATTTTGATTTCGTCGGACTGGATCGGTTTACAAGGTTTCCTTACAAGAATATCGATTAGTATCGCAATGTTACTGCGATTCATCAACAGAGTGAACATCTTACAACAGGAAACAATCATTGCGAGTAGCATGTAAAAATTATCAGTAAAATCGTCGGGATTGTCCACGGTTAAAATTAAATCCATCAATTGCGATAGCATAAATGTATGTATAAGTAGCAATATCAAAATAGTGTAGAAATGATAAACTAACCGTTTACATAGTGTCGTGCAAGAATCTGGTATCCAGCATCCGCAAATCATTAATATTCTAAACGTAAAATTTAATACTTGCATCTTTAATTTTTAATTTATTTCTGTTGCAAATATCATTGACTGTCCTCCAAATAAAGCGTATACTTGTAAATCATTTGTTAAAACTTGTATAATATTCTCTTTTTAATTTCCTTATTTTAAATATTAAAATATGAAATCCCAAATATATATCTTGCAATATATAACAATTACTTAAAAATATGCTCGAAAATATTCGTATATAACAATAAATTGATATTGCTAAATTTCAATTCAACAATTTTCACTATTTACAGATAATGTTATAATAAAAATATTTTCTTAGAACATATGATACATAGTGAGCTCTTGAGAAAAACTGACGACCGTAGCCTTACGTCTATAGCCTTACGGTCTTTCTAATGACAACGTGCCTAACTCCCCCTTTCGTATGTGTTGTACGACAATTTTCATTATTCAGATTGCTGCTATGCCCTTCAGATAATAATATTTTCATGCATCCCACCCATTCTGCTCTGTGTAGTTTTCTTTTTCTGGTAATAGGATATAGAGAAGATCACTCAATATTATATCTTAACATAATAGTACTTAATGAGAAATAAAGTATTAAAAAGCAGAACTACAAAACAAAAAAAAATCGAGAAATAATTTATTATTTCATTAATTTATTAAATCATAATGTAACTGGTAATCAATTTTACAGCTTTATATTGATTTTTATGACGACAATTTCTATTTGAACATTCTATAACTTACAAACATTGTAAGAAGCCGCACTTTACATATATATATTGTACATTTCAAAAGTTTACGTCAAAAGCTTAAAAATTTAAATTTTTTAGAAAACGGAAAAATTATTTGTAACAAAAATTTATTGATTAATCAATCATATCGATATAGAGAGAGAAAAAAATATGTTTTTATCATAATCAAATGTCATTTTCGTATCACAATCTTTACAAAAATTACTTTTAAGATATAACTCTATTTGAATTGATTCTTTATATTAATTTTTGATGATCAACAAAATAATGTTATACTTGAACTCATTTAACTCATTGAACTCATTTAACAATCCAAAAATCATTTCTTGAGCTGTGTCATTTCTTAAATAAAGGAGCACAAAATACTAATTAGATAATACAAATACGAATGCAAAACGTAAGTAAAAAATTGTTGCAGAGTATTTAATAAAAAATTACATGGTTTCAGATCACTTATACACCTTTTTAAAATGAAGGAAAGTGATTGTGTGTATAGGTCTGAAACATTATGTATATCTAATACAAACAAAAATAAA